GAAGAGAAGAGAAGAGAAGAGAAGAGAAGAGAAGAGAAGAGAAGAGAGAAATAGGAATGGAATGGAATAGAATAGAGGAATAGGGATAGGAATAGAACAGAACAGAATGGAATAGAATAGAATAACAAAACCTTAGAGGTCTTCTACTCCATCCACCTGCTCAAGCAGGAGGAATGGAATGGGTTAGGGTTAGGGTTGGGGAACAGAAGAGGAGAGGAGAGGAGAGGAGAGGAGAGGAGAGGAGGAGAGGAGAAGAGAAGAGAAGAGAAGAGAAGAGAAGAGAAGAGAAGAGAAGAGAAGAGAAGAGAAGAGAAGAGAAGAGAAGAGAAGAATGAAGGAATGGAATGGAATAGAATTGTGAAAAACTTTTTTCACAATTTTCAGAGCTGGTGTAACTTTGAAAGGTCACTAAATGAACTGTTGTAAGTCGAGGACTGCCTGTCACACGATCACAATTCAGGCCCTTGACAATGGCCATCTATTTATGACCAGTTACAACATCCCAGGGGATGGGGGTGGGTTTACGGGATCGCTGTTTCCAATCCTCCCAGCCAGCTTCCAACAACAAACAAAACCAACGGGAGATGCCAGATTTCCTTAAACCGCCTGTGTGATTCACAGCAACGGCAGGGATTCTGCTTAACTACCCCGGCGAAAAAGCTCCCAACATTGGGTGCGACTTGCTTAACATGCTTGCTTAGCCACAGAGATTCGGTCACCAATTTTGGTCGTAAGCTGAGGAGTCCCTGTCTCTCCTCGGTTGCCCAAACCACGCTTCCTTATTAGCGTTGCGTCAAAAGTGCCATTGGCAGCGCAGCCCTTTCCGCAGGACTGGGCACGTTGCTAAGACGCCCACATTCCAAGCCGTTGCCCGTCGAGCGATTGTGCAACCTTTCTGGTCTTGTTCCAAAGCAAGGGACAAAGAGTTCCTTGTTTGCCTGCTCAATTGTTCGGGAAGGAACACCGGCTCCTTATGGGCACCCGAGTCTGTTTTTCAATCATTAATCCGTGCCCTTGGCTGCATTGGCCTTCGTAATCTTACTCCATCTTTGGTGAGCCAGAGAGGCAATTAATTCGGCCAGGGTGCCCCACTGGGAAGGATCAGGTAAGTTTCCAGAAAAGGGGAAAAACACTCAAAAGCTCGTATAAACGAGCCAAGCTGCAGGGGACAAAGACAATTGGATGTCACTTCAGCTTTGACTAGCCTTTAATGGAATAGAATAGAATTCTTTATTGGCCAACTGTGATTGGACACACAAGGAATTTGTCTTGGTGCAAACGCTCTCAGTGCACATAAAATAAAAGACAGTCAAGAGTCAAGAATCATCAGATACAACACTTAATGATAGTCATAGGGTACAATAAGCCATCAAATCACACTAGGAAACAATCAATATAAATCGTAAGGATACAAGTGACTCAGTTGCAGCCCTACAGTCCCAAGTGGGATGAGATGGGTGATAAGGAGTGATGAGAAGATTAATAGTAATAGTAGTGCAGACTTTGTGATAGTTGAACAGGGTTGAGGGAATTATTTGTTTAGCGGAGTGATGGCTTTTGGGAAAAAAAATGTCCTTGTGTCTAGTTGTTCTGGTGTGCAGTGCTCTATAGCGTCATTTTAAGGGTAGGAGTTTATGTCCCTGATGCGAGGGGTCTGTAAATATTTTCACAGCTTTCTTTTTGACTCGTGCAGTATATGGATTTATTTCCTATGCATATATTGGATCCTGATGTATGTATCTGATACATCATATGTATTATGTATCACGCAACGTTAGTAATGGACAAGAGAAAACAGGTTCCTTTGGTTGAAGAAATGTAGGGATGCGAGATAAGCCTGGGACTGTTTTTCCTTTGTTATTGTCAAGGAATGAAATTGTTGTTAAAGAAAATGATTCTGGTACTAAAGTTTCTTCTATTATAGATTTATTACAGAATATTGTAGAAGCAAAAAGAGTTGTATTTTGAATTATTTCTAAACTGTTGAGTAATTCTTTCTAAACCACCAAGTAAGTTATTTTTAGTTAAAAAATACTTCATATTTAGGGGATTCACTTGTTTGCTTTCTAAACTGAAAATATTTTAAAATCTCTTTTCAGTGTTTGATCAATAAAATGTAAATTAACAAAAGAAAAAAGAAGAGTAGTCAACAATGGCAATTTCATATAAAGAAAACCTATATAAAATGTTTTGTAGATGGCACCTACCACCCGCTAGATTAGCCAAAATGTTCAAAAATACGTCTAGTAAATGTTGGGAAATGTAATAAAAAATCGGGCACATATTACCATCCGTGGTGGACTTGTGTTAAAGTTAAAAAAATTGGGGACAAAAATACACGTGTGGTTAGAAAGATGTTAGGAAAACATGTCAATCTTAAACCTGAACTTTTCCTATTAGGTGTCGTACCAGAAAAATTTGATAAACAAAGTATATATTTAATATTGCATGTATTAATAGCAGTGAGGATTGTATTTGCTCAGCATTGGAAAAATGAAGAAATAACATGGAGTTTATTTTATCAATGGCTGGAACAAAGCGGTAAAGATTACGAATGTAATTAGTATTGTTAAGCAAACAAAATAACCCAGACAACGTGATGTTTATTAAGCACTAAATAAATGTAATAGTAAAAAATTAACAAAAGTTTAAAAAGAAAGAAGAGTAAAGTCACATTCCCCAGAGATAATACACCACCGCGGAGCAACAGGCTTAGAGGGAGGCCTGGACTTACAACCAAAAGTGAGCCCCAAATTTCCATTGCTAAGAGAGAGACCGTTAAGTGAGTTCTGCTCCGTTTTATGACCTTCCTTGCCATTTCTGTTAAGTGAATCACGGCAGTTGTTAAGTTAGGAACACAGCTGTTCAGACCATCTGGCTTCCTCGTTGGCTTGGCATGTCAGAAGGCCGTAAAAGGGGATCACATGACTCCAGGACGCAGCGACCGTCATAAAGAGGAATCTTTTGCCAAGCCTCCAAATTCTGAGCACGTGACCGTGAGGATGCTGCAACCATCCTAAGTGTGAGAAAAGCCATCTTTTCCAGTGCCGTTGTAACTTCAAACATTCACTATACGAATGGCTGGAAGCAGTGGTGGGAGGCTGCCGGTTCAGACTGGTTCACACCAACCGGTTGTTCTCACAATCAGCTGGCCCTGCCCAATCCTGTCCTTTATTTCCTGCTTTGTAGCTCATCTCAATCGTGCGGCGCGGCCTGATTTCCCCCACACTCACTCTTCTACTCACCGTTGTTGACTTGGGAAGGTAAGCAGCTGAGCTTCTAAAGGCTCCATTTTCAGCGCAAGCACCTTAGGCGCACGCTCACCAAACCGGTTGTTAAACCAGCAGCATCCCACCACTGGTCGTAAGTCAGGAGCTATCTGTATACCATTACGCTTTTTTTCCCACTGTGCAAAAAATGGAAGATGTCTTTTGGAGCACCAACCCACCAGGCCTCCCCATATCCCAGAGCACCAAAAAATATCCTGACTCATCTCTTCTGCCATCCTGTCCAGGTGGGGTAGGGAACTTTTGCACCCTTGATTTGGCTTTTAGGTAGCTCCCTTCACATTCAGACTGCCCAAGAGCTGCCGATACACTTTTATGGAGGAACGATTGAGCCTATCCTTTTTACTTCTATAACTGTCTGGTTTGATACTGCAACCAAACAGGTGGAGACTCCCATGGAGAGTTCAGACTATCAGAAAAAACAAAGGCAACCCGCCCGCCTTCCACTGAGGACCTGTACATTGTGCAGGTCAGAAAGAAGGTTGAGAAAATGACCGCAGATCCTTCACCTCCTGGACATAAAACTGTTTCAACTCATCCCCTTGGGATGGCGCCAGAGGGCACTGCATGCCAAAACAACTAGAGCCTTTTTCCCTCCGGCCATCACTCTGCTGAACATGTAATTCCCACAGTAGTCTTATGTCTAGGATATTTAGTACGGCTGTATTACTGTTATCCTTCTCGTTTGTTCTTCTACCTTCTCTTATTGGTACCACTGATTATGTTAATCACTCTGCTCTTTTGCATGTAACCCTGAGAGCTTCTGTACTGGAGACAGATGCCTTGTGTGTCTAATCGTACTTGGTCAAATAAAACATTTCATTTCATACATATTTGAGCAAAGGTGAGCCCACCATCCTTTAACCCTTCAGGCCTGTGAATAGGCAGCAACGTCCTTCAGCTCTTCCTGCAGAAGTACCACCTACAACCCTTGTGCCCAAGTGTGGAAGGAATCTTGAAGTCCACCAGCCGAGCCCTCCTCCTCTGGAGAAAATACATTGGGTACACTGCCCGGATTGTGGCAAATCCAGCAAGAGTCAAGCCCCACAGGGGCTTGGGGGCTTCTTACCACACAACCCACCCCTCCCATCAAAGATTTCTTGCCCACAATTCACAGTCACTTGTGTGCACAAACGCAGTGGATTGTTCATCAAGTTACAATTTTATTTCTGTACAAGCCTCCTTCCTGAGTGACCACGGTCCGTCCTCCAGCCTTGCTTACACAGTAAACAAGCTGTTCAGTCCAAACTGATAAACAAAAAAAAAAAAAAAAAACACAAACACAAACAAAACAAAAAAAAAATGCCCCATCCCAAACCAAGCAAAATAGTAACACTGAGAAAGGCTTTGCTAGCCAGACCCTTGACATCTGGGTTACCCCTTCTGCTTTCCCCACAGGGTCCTGAGCACCGGCCCAGTTGAAATGGAGTGAAATATGCAAGGGGGGCACTTTGGGTTGTAGGAAAACAGGCTGTGAGAATGGCAGAGGGGGGCAAGGGGCATCCTTTAGGCTGCGAACCAAGGTGCCCACTAAAACCAACCTCAATGCTCTGCTTGATTCAAAACTGGGTTAAAGTCGGCTTGGTGCTTTTTCAGAGCTTTGCAAGGGGTAGGGGATGAAGAGGGTGGAAGAAATAAAACAGGGGAGGGGGTTTTCTACCCAGCGAATGTTTTGTCTGGTTGCAAAACCATCAAGGTGCTAACTCTTAACTCTCAGCCCTTCAAGTAGTGTCTGCTTTGGATTTGGGCTGAAAGGTTGACCCTGCATGATGTGGATGGAGAATAAATAAGAGGAAGGACAAGTTTACTGATCGCTCCCGAACCGGTTAAGAAAAAAACAACAACACCCCTCCAACGAGGTGAGTTTTGGCGACTCTTGCGGCACACATGCAGCGAGAACCAAAATGAAAACTGAAATCAAAGCAATCCTCTTTGAAAATTGTCCGAAGCGTTCCTGAATGGCCTCCATCCCAGGACAAATGAGGGATGTGGTGAGGGAAAGTTGGGGAAGGAGGAGAGGAAAGCCGAAGGATGGGTGTGTGCGTGTCATATTTCTGCTGGTTGCGCCGTGCCCCTTTCCGAAGGGCACTCGGATCGTCTGAAAACGCACCGTCTCTTTCGTCTGGATGCTTTTAAGGCACAGTAGTGACAAGAAAACAGGTAGAATTGGATCCAGCGAGTCTCTGCTTTTGCGACAAAGTCCGTAAAAAATCCATCCAAGGATGCTTCCAGTTTGTTAAAAAGAAGAGAAAAAAAAAAGGAATCCAACAACGGCCCCCACCCCGTGCGAATAGATAGGACTCAAAGCCCGCGGTTCCTGTAGAGAAATCCCTCATACCCCTCCCCGAGGAGGATTGTGTGAGAACTGTGCAAAAAAACAAACAAGCTTTGCCTTGATCTAAGAGGCAAAAATCATATTCCGGAAAACTTGATCTAGTTCTGCAACTCGGTGGCCAAAGCGGCGTCCAACTGGCATCAGAGAGAAAAAAAACACCTCTGTGGCTCAGCTCCAACACCCTCCACCCACCCCCACCCCCTGCCAAGGGATCACAGGGGGGACAGACAGGTTGCTACCCTCCCCCCAAAAGAGCAGCAGCTGTTTGCGACTTATTGCACACCACGTTGTGTGGAAAGGAGTGTGGGCGGACAAGGGGAGAAGAGAGGAAGGAAAAGGGAGAGAAGGAAAACATAGAAACCGCCCCTGAGAACAGTTTTCTTTTTTTTTCGGAGCGATGCAGTTGGCGTGGAACCTGCTCACACCCAGGATGGCGTTTTCTGCCTCGGTGTCTCGGTCTTCAGTCCTGTGCGTGGGAGTAAGGCATCCCGGTGAAGACCGGCAACTTTAGTTAACGCTTTATTAAAAGCATTTTCTTCCTCCCTCCCTCTCTTTCTCTCTCTCTCTCTTTTTTTGCTTTTGCTTGTTTTTTAGGAAAAAAGGGAGGGGGGGGGAAAAACCCAGTTTAGAAAAAAAAAATCCCTCAAGTCGCCATTGTCCTGGGTCTCCACGCGCCCCCCCGCCCCATTCGCGATGCGTTTCTGAGCTGGCGCTTGGCTCGCCTCCTTCTTCCGGGATATTACGAGGATTCCTTTCCATGGGGATGTGTGTGGCGGGCGGCGGAGGGGGAGCGTGATCTGGAAGCTACATTCGGGAAGACGGGCTGGCCAGCTCGTAGAAGAGGAGATAGGCGTCGCTGCTGCGGAGGTGGCCCAGGGAGATCGGCGTGACGCTGCAGGAAGGACACAAAGTGAAAACGGCATTAAAGAGAGGGGTGCAGGGTAAATGAAGAATGGATGTGAGGAAAACTGACAGCAAGGGATGCCTACGTTGACTTCTGGCTGGTTCTGACCCACACACTCCAGCCCTGAGAGGTCAAAATGGGGGGTGCTGGCAGTCCTTGTTTCATGACCAGAATCGGAAACGGTTTTCTGGTTGTGCATCATTACAGTCCTCAGTCGAGACGCCAATGGGACCAGATCTGATTCCAGGACAATTTTTGGGGTAGTCGTTAAGTGAAATCACTGTAGTTGCTAAGCGAATGCTTCGATTGTAGGCGTGAAGCTGTTCTTCCGAATGGGTGGGGTTTTTTTTTGCTGGAAATCAGCAAAAAAGGAAAAGTCACCAATCATGATCATGTGACTGCAGGATGCTGCGGCTGGTCGCAAAGACACACCCAGTTGTCACAAGACCACGAGTGTATGTGTGTGCGGGGCACATTTTGTGATGACCAAAAGTACATTATAGGCTGTAAACACCCTTCTGGGCTTGTCGTCATTACAAATGTCCGTGAAGCAACCAATCATAAACTGAGGACTAGAAGAACATTATACTGATTATTGTTTTTCTTTTATACTAGATTAGTAAGAGAGTTTGAGGAGAGGACTGAACAAAGAGGCAAACTTTGGAAAGGGAGAATTTGGTTTTCCAGGCTAAATGATAACAGGCAAACCAAGGCAATCGTCGTCTTACAACCAGAATTGAGCTCCAAATTTTTGTTGCTAAGCGAAAGAGTTGTCCGAGTTAAGTTTTGTCCACTTTGATGACCTCTCTGGCCCGGGGAAAGAGTTGGGAGCGTGAAAGGAGAGGCCGGGCACCGGCTTACCGTGAATCGTTGAAGGTGTGCCATTCTCCAGAGAGTGGACTCTTGCAGTAGGCCGTGTAATGGCCACCCATTGTGGTCCCGCTGTGGTTGGAGATGGCATAGAGATTGTAAATTGCATGATCTGAAAACAGAAGAGGTCAAATTACTGTCAGGGGAGACTTTCCCTTCACTTCTGAGTGTGCAAAAGCAGGAAGTGGCCTTGATTAGAAGTGTGCAATGGCCCTTCTTTTTCTCCCCAAATATTGCTAGCAGGGTTTGCCTTGGCTTGATGTTCGTGGAAGGTCTGACTTTGGGGGAAAAAATAGAATGAAATACAAAAATCTGAGGAATCTCTTATCACAATCTTGGCTCCCAAGGAAATTCAGAGGGAGAAGCCCCCAAGTATAGCTCAGTTTTTATTTTTAGGTCATGATTATTTGATATGATTAACGCAGCCGCTCATTTCACAACAGCCGTTTTGGAGAGGGTACTAAAGTGGGACATTCCTGCTCCCTGGCAAATTTTGTAAGCCTTCCTCAAAACCTCTCACTCAACCTCTTTGTTGCTTTCCCCTAAAACGTGAACAGCTGGAGGAGGAAAACTCCAGTGTTTTTTTTCCCCCCCAAGCTGGAAGCCGTGATTCTGAAAACCAGATTTCAATCGCGGAGCACATATCGTCCACGTACTGTTTTATACTTTAAGAGTCCCTCTTGGAGGGAGTTGGCCGGTTCAGCCATGTGAAATACCAGTAAATAAATAGATGGCTCTCTCAGATCGGACCCACTTCTGCGGGATATCTCATTTCAAATGTTTTCCAAAATCGAGACCTTTGAACCGGTCAGGGAAGTGAATTCTGCTTTCTGTTTCCTTTACAATTCCAGGCAGCGGGTGGGATCAAACAACCAGGCTGTGTTTGTGTATCTTTGTTCGACTGGACTTGGAGGGAAGAAGGTTCAGGGATCTATCCTCAGTTGGTGACCCTGATAGATGTGGGGTCCTGGTGCTCTGGGCTGTGGACATCCAGAAACCGGGCTGCCCAAGCAAAAGCGAAGCCCCATCCACACAAGTGTGGGATGCAGGCAGTGTGTGACACTACACCGTGGAAACCAAACCAGTGGAACAGAGGTTGCCTCCAGAAATCGTGGGTGCTCCATCACTGGAGGTTTTTAAGAAGAGACTGAGATGGTGTAGATTCTCCTGCTTGAGCAGGGCGGCTGGACTAGAAGACCTCCAAGGACCCTTCCGGCTATTCTATTCTATTCTATTCTATTCTATTCTTTCTATTCTATTCTATTCTATTCTATTCTAATTTCTATTCTATTCTATTCCATTCTATTCTCTATTCTATTCTATTCTAATTTCTATTCTATTCTATTCTGGTCTGTTCTATTCTAATTTCTATTCTATTCTATTCTGGTCTATTCTATTCTA